ATAATTGTTCTGTACTTCATTTCTACCTATACTTTAATTTTTGTTATATATTATGACAAATAAATTTGTTTATTTTGTAAAGAAATTTTCCTACAAACTTAACAATTATAATATGCATGTTTGTTTAGTACCATACAGGAAATACCCCCATTGAATAATACCCAGGTATGATTTTATGGAGATACTAAGAATTCACAGGTTTTCTTATATATACTCGGGGTATTATATTGAGCGATATACGGTATTTTAAAAATAAATTATAAATTATAAATTATAAGATACATATTTCAACAACTTATATATTGTTATTATGATCAATTGTTTGTTATTATGTTATTGTTATTATATAAATATAATTGAATAATTATTTGGAAAAACTTTATAAATAAATAAAATATTAATTGCCTCACTTAACATTAAAAAAAAAATAAAAAAAAATATTAATTATTTAATTAATAACATTAATCAAAATACTATTGGTTGTTTATTGATATTTAAACAAACTTAAAAATTTGGTTGAATAATTCAATAATTAAATATTTATTAAAACTTAATAATAATTTGTATATAAAAATATATAATTCTTTTACTTGTTATATTTTATTATATTTTAATTTTTTAAAATTTCTATATTTTAAATTTGATAATATATATTTATATAGATTTTAATACCATATTCAAACATGTGAATAATTATTTCTACTGTTCTATATTATTACTGTTCGGCTTAGAAGTGTTCTAGATAGATAGATATATTTTCTTTTATTAATGTTAGCATTCATTATGGTATGCATTAATTAATTGATAAATGGTTGTGCAAAACTGTTGTTCTTATTTTTTTTAACTCTTGACCAAGCTGATGCTATGTTTATTAAATCCAATGAATCACTTCCATTATTTAACTTACTGCCAATTGAAATCCTACTCTTCTGCACGGCCCCGACCACGACCACCTTTGAATTCAGGTTTAAAGTCGCCGGAAGCTCCCTCCTTTTTGCCTTCGCCATCTTCACGACGACGATAGTCTCTATCTCCGCGATTTTGTGGAGCTCGGTACGTACCTTCCCTACCTTCTTCTGTTAAAGTAAATAAAAAGCCCAATGATGAGTGTATGCAAAAAAGGTCATTCAATTCAATCTTT